TTTAAATCTATTCTCTTTTATTCCTGTCGGATTTCGGAGGCGTTAATACTCTTAATGAAAAAAAATCGGCCAGATTTGCGGGATCCGAAAAGGCTCAAATGGGGTTGCGGAGGTGCTCTCATAACGGCGATCCACGTTCTCACTGCAGCACACTGCTTGCCTTTCATCAAGGATCAAGACAAGGTGGTCGACAGCACCAGACTGCGGTACGCGAGACTCCATTGAATTACAGTACTTTTCCATAAGATCACCTTCAAGAAATAAAATTGGAGAAATGGATTGATAAAGTATTGCAAAACCGTGGGGATGGCGCCAGAATAGCTTTCAACAATGAATCTTGTCTCACATGAACTCAAACGTGCTTCGCGAATCAGGACTTACATGTACAGCACCTGAGTACCTTACCGCAATTGAGGCGTTTACATACAGTTCAAGCAAAGGAAATATGTTTCGATTCAGGTGACATCTATTTAATGAAAATTAATATCTTCGGGGTAACGCGGGGAAACGACAGCGAGTGCATCAACGGAATGATTGTTCGGCCACGCCTCAAGAAAATGAGGTTTAATCTCTATACTGTACAGTATTTCCGATTCAGTAAATCTATTTTACGACGAATTTCGATGAAAAGGAATTCTTACATAAAACGAATAGGTTTCTCGAGCCCGTGTCTCATAATATTATTTGAATCACTTTATTTAAAAAATGTTTCGTTACATCGTTTTCCCAAGTTCCAAAAACTTCGTTGTGATGAGGGATTTTACTGTGTTTGCTCACTTTTTGAAGTTAGTGCAGTCCTTCACTTTCATCTCTTCCAGAATCATTTAGTCTAGACTCTAAAACAAGAAATAAAGTGAAACATTTTGGAACACCTCCCGCAAGAGTTGTCCCAGCATTTCTGGACGGGAATAATTGCTTTAGTTCTCTTTTCATTGAAAATTTGAACGTTTTTAATAATTTTCCTTATGATTTTTTGTAAACTGGTATTTTCAAATTTCAAAGAAATTTTCTCGAAACACTGCATAATCAGAAGTGAAAACTGTTCCTGGTTGCAGCCAAACTTCACTGCCTTTGTACAGTATATTCACTCAGCATCCTGCTTCTCCATAGCTGATTTTAGAAATGAAAGTTTTCTCACATTCGAGTAAAATTTAGTAATTTCCGTGATGGTTAACTGATAAATTCGCTAAATTTCAGGGCGTACGTTGTCCGACTCGGAGACGTGAATATTCTCAGCGAATCCGATGAAGACGAGGCGTTTGCGAGAACATATGCGCACCGGTTCCGCATGTTCGTACGTTTAATGGTTTTTAGCGGTTCGAAGACCTTGCTGTAGCGTCACGAAGTCGACCTTTTCGGTTGCTTTAAGTCACCATTCAATTTGCGTGGATAAACTTCAGCCCTTTTGATGAAAAAAAAAATCGAATGAAACACCGGCTTCAGCACTGATGTGTTGTATTTCTGATGGAATACAGTGGGTTCACATATGACAGGAACATTTTTTAGTAAATATACACTCAAGTACTGTACCATTATGTGATCTCATTTAAAATGCGCACCTTGAATTGTTGAGCCAATTTTTTTGTTCAGAAAAAATGAATCATTACGCATTTTAGAAAAAATGAATGAGACGTGAAAACCAGTTTTCTCTGTGCAAAAGTTAATTTGATGTAAGAAATAAAACGCTGGAATTCGAAAGTTTTATGAATAAAAATTTGAAATAAGGCGTGCTTCAATCGTTATTATTTCGCATTTTCATCTATAGTACTGTAATTTGATTTAGGCCTAAATATGTAAATTTAATCATTCTAGTCTTTAAAATATTTCTCTGAACTTCACTGAATTTTTATAGCAGTTAAAAGCAGTTTTCGATGGCACAAGAATCAATTTATTTTAGTAAATAAACATAGAAATTTGAAATTTAGACTAATAAAAACGTACTTCCGTGCGATTTGAAAAAGTGTTGTCAAATTTTTCTAGATGGATAAGAAAAATATTTTAAAAGTTAATCGTATCTGATGGATGATCTTAAAGGCAGCGTAGTAGGGCGTTTTGGAAGAGGCTGAACAAGCTCGACTTTGTACTGTATGTTTTATTTTTATTACTGCGTTCATTTGGCTCAAGATTCCAGATAATCAGAGGCTATCCTTTTCCAGAGTACCTTTCACCTGTTTGTCTACCAACGCCAAGCACACAAGCCTCAGAAGCAACTCGCAGTGGGGAAATGATCGCCATCGGATGGGGGGCTGACGGTACGTTTATCAATTTTGTCAAAATATTTCAGCTTTTTAAACGCTTTGATGAGAGCGAAAATTGTATTGGTTCTTGAGTTGTATCGGTCCAAAATATACAGTGTATGATCAAATTACCATTCAGACTTCGCCGAAAATTCCGTAAACTTGACATTTCGCAATGAACCGCGATCACTTCGCGTGAAGGTCGACAATTTACGTGAATTAAATCGGAACACGAAGCGAGACTTGATGTAATAAGCATATCATGTACAATCATTGGCCCCAATTTCAACTCGCTTTTTAATCCTCGCGCAGGATCTTCAAAGGACTCGGTCGTGGACCAACTCCAATCCGTGTCTCTCCCTTTGGTCGACTTTGAGACCTGTGTGGACAAGTATTCGGATTTCGACATTCCTCTCGAGGGAACGCAATTTTGTGCCGGAAGAACGGGCAAGGACACTTGTAGAGGAGACAGTGGGGCTCCAACCATGCGGTTCAATCCGATCCGAGGAGCATTCGAGGTCATTGGAATCACTTCGATAGGAAGCACCAAGTGTGGCACTGGGATACCAGGGGTCTACACGCGGGTTGAGGCCTTTGTGGAATGGATAGACAGGATCATCAGGTCCACTTGATGCGTCGTCCGTGTGGGCCAGTTGAACAGTGCCAACTCGCTTATTGTATGCAGTAAAATCTCGTTGCAACAAATAACTACGTTAATACAAATTTTGAAGTATATAACAAACTTTTGCTCAAGTTCCAGCAGAAAGTCCATATTATATAGAGCTAAGTGCAGTATATGTTGAAACAATCTTTAAATAAAAATTCCCAATCACAGAACAGTTATAACAAAATTCTTTGAGGAATGTCAAGTATAGATTCTCCAGGTAGAAATTTCCTGACTGACAGACAGTCTGAAATTTCCAATCCAAGATGTTGATGACTGGTTTATATGTAGCATGAATGGAAGCTGACAATTTCAAACATGCTTCAATAAAGTGGTTCCACGCATCATCACCACAGATTGAAGAGATTGGTGAATCAACTGATGTAATGCATGCTTGCTGAAGCTAACTTTTCTTTCTGAGGATCAGCTCTCAATTTTTTAAACAAAAAAGAAAATTAGAGAATGCCAAAGAAGCAAGATTTTATTGATTATAGGAAGGTCTGATATGAAAGCTTTTCCAGTCATAATTTTGGAAATCTCTTCAAAGCAATTTTTCAACGTAACACATTTATTGTACGTCCCCAAAAGTTTGTTGTGGCGAGGTTTTACTGTACTGTAGATACGATAAATACAGTACTGATGCATGATGAACAGCACGGGGTACGGCGATGTTCAGGGATGAATACTTGGAATAAAAATGCCCTCATAATTTTCGAAAATTTCATGGGATATTTTTTTTACAGTTGAACCTCAAGGTACCAACAAAGCAAAATCCAGTTGAGGAGGTTTTGAGTTGGGAAGACTATTCCCTTGTTGGTTGGGGTGATGGAAGTAAAAAATAATTGCAGGATATTGTAGTTGATGATGCTGTATTCATGGCCCTGAATTTCTTCTTGAATGAGTTGACAGATGCTGAACTTGGATGCAAGGGCTCATATATCAAAATTAATCTTTCACCTCCTTTCAAAGAGAATCAAGTTAAATTTTTATTGCTATACTGTACATCATTTCCTGCGTCAATAAATTAATAGCTAAAAGGTATAGTTACATACATCCCTTCAATAACGTGGGTCGTCATTTGTCAACGACTTTTTTCAATTTTTTTTAATTTTGAAATCTTGGCATTCCTCGAAAATTTTTTCCCAGATGACACTTTATTTTTGGCTATTATAATACTCATCGACATTCAGCAGAATCAGATCAACTTTGGTTTGCGAATTGGCAATCTTAAGCGTTTCATTGATTCACATGGAGGGAATACAATGCTGTACTCAAAGTGATTTTAAAATGTTGGATAATTTATATTTGTTAAACTGAATTTTCAGTTTTAATTTCCATTTTTTCAACATGGAGTTAATTTGTGTAACTAACACCAGCGGAGTTGGGGAAAGATTTCGTTTTCACGGAATCTTCATCTTATAAACAGACACCATTTCAGAATGTCTTGAATTTTAGGTACTTTATATATTTGATAATGTCTTAGGTTCATCGCGGGACTATATACAGTTCCTAGTTTTTCTCTAACCAAAAGTAAATAAAAGTAGAACAAGAATTCAATTTATCGAAAAAAGTTTTTTGGGATGAACAAAGATCTCTTGTAATGGATATTTCCTTTCTCTGCTCCTCGCATAATTTTGTTAGAATGTTTTAGGAAGTTGATGATTGCCATACAATCTAGTCTTAGAAGAAACATTCCAAGAGAAATTCCTCTGGAAAGAAGCACAATCTTTTGTACTGCATTTTTCTGTCACTTTTGAAAAATGCAGCGCTTTTTATAACATGCAGTTATAATTTCATTCAGAAAGATTTGAAAATCCAGATTTTGATGGGCATGTGTGAGGTAATCAGGTGAAAAACGAAAAGCAGTAACTAAAGATTCAGCAAGCAAAACTGGATACTGTACTACAGTACTGTATTAATGAACAGCTTTTTTGTAACCATTTTTATATTGAGGTCCAACTCATTTAATCCCTTGGGGATTATATTGGAAGCCAGGAAGTCTGCATATTTCTTGCCATACCTCAGACAAAACACACGCAACTTTTTGATATTCCCGTTCATTGGTCACATCTTATTTTAAAATAAAGCATACAGAAACCTTTTAGTATTTACTATATTTTTTTTTCATTCAACCAGTCACACGTGTAAAATATCAACATCAGTGTGAAGCAGTAGCAAAATACACCACAAACATTGAATACCCAAACTTTCTTCTCTTGAATTCACAATGAATTCCCCAAAATCCCAACAATTTTTGATAAAATCCGTGCTGCCTCCTCAAAAATCAAATAAAGGCAATTAATCCATATTCTTTGGTTTAAAACATAGAAAAACTCTGAGAGATGCACTGTGTTTTATAATTGTAATTAGGCTGCTGTACATGCATGACTCAATTTGTGTGGCTGTATTTTCACAAGGAAAGCTGTATTTATTAATTTGGCAAACCTGAATCTTATTTTTTCTACTTCTGGTCTATCTTGATTTTGGCTTTATTTTTTTCAAGTGATTCATTGTCGCCTGAATAAGATTATCTTTTTTCAATCCTGATAAAATTGCCTTCTTACTTGATTAGGGAAAAATTCCTATATTTTCAACTGACTTATGTAAATTGTTTTTTGTCTATTTTCATTTATTGCTAGAAATTTATTTTATGCACCTGGAAGTGACAGCAGGATTATTGCTAATTTGCTATCTGAAAATTGAACCAGTGCCAATACTCCAAAATCCCTTTTTGATGCGTGGAAAAACCTGTTTCCCAGAAAGATGCATTATTTTCTCAATTTTTGTCAACAGATTTCTCAATCTTTGAAATGGCATCATTTTTTCTTGATGAATCTTGTGTTCTATCCGCTGCTGGCTTTATTTGCCCAACAATATTTTCATCAGCTGAAGCAGATTCTCCTTTCATTCTATTCCTGTGATCAACTTTTCTGGATTCCAACAGTGTTTCTGTTCCAGAATCACTTGTCAGATTTTTGTTCGCAGTGCGCTGGTCAGGTGAGGATGAGTTTGCAGGAAACTTTTTGGCTTGATCTAGTCTTTTTTCTGCTGGCCTACTCTCTGATTTACCAGCATCTGAACTACCATCAAGATCCTTTTTCTCAGAATCATTTATGGAAGGAACAGCTTTTCGAAAGATATTCGATTCTATTGCAGACTTCTTTGGTCCATTTATGCTGGATGCTTCAGCTTCATCTCCTTTTGAGTATTTTTTGAGATCATCAATCTGCTCTATTTTTTGCTTTTCTGCCTGATCAGCAGGCTTTTTCTTATTTTGCTTTCCTCTCAATTCGCCATCTTCCAAATTTTCAGAATTATCTTTGACTGAATCAGTTTTGTTAAGGTCATTAAGAGGGTCATTTAATCCTTGAACAGATTCCTTCTTGGCCATTTCCAGTTTCAAGTCATCCGCTGTGTCATTGAATTCTTTGGAAGAATCATTCTTGGAAATTTCAGTTCTTGAGTCTTGTTGGTCTATTCTTGATTCTATGGTAGAATCATCATTGTCAATTCCCTTCTCTGATTTCATGGGTATTTTCAGCTTCAAGCCATCCAGAGGGTCATTTACCTCTTGGGCAGAATCATCCTTGGAGATTTTTGTTTTGGAGTCTTCATGGTCCCTTATTTTGGCAGAATCATCCTTTGCTTTCATCTGTCCCAAGCCATGATCACTTGATCCTTGGTCAGAGTCATCCTCGAACATTTTTGCTTTTGAGTCCAGCGAACCTCGAGATCTTCTGACCGAATCATCCCCTGAAAATGACGGTTCTGTGGATTGTTTCTTCTCCAAATTTTCGGATTTTTTCTTCCCGAAGTCAAATCGCTTTGGGAACTCCTTTTCTATGTCTTCAATTTTTCCACCATCTTGATTGCTGCGTTTCGGGCCATCAAATTTCCCCAGTTCCATTGCCAACAAATTATCTTTCGGAGCTGTTTCATCGTCTTCTCCCTCCAGATGGTGCTTGGGACGGTAAGCTGGGTAGAAGTGACGTTTGACAGTATCAACTACTGCTGGTTCTCCAGGCCTCAGTCTGTCTTTTCCTTCCCTGGGAATCTGATTTTGAGCGTGAAAAATAGTTTTTAAAACGCCAAAACCTGACAAAATGTTTGACCCCAGGTCAAAAAAGGATTGTAGAATAGTTCTCCAGCGAATACAATGACAGACATTTTGATAGATGAGCTGAAGCTCTTCAAATACTTTTTGAATCAAGAGATTTGCAAAAAATTTGACTTCATGATTTTATGATTTAGGGTATGATATAGCGGGCTTGACTTGTATTGGTTTATCATAGCAAAGTTATTTTTTCGCCTGATATATATCATAGAAACATTTCATCATTTTTGAATGTCATGATGATGGGTATACATATAGTATATACCGGTACCTGTAGAAAGTTGCCTTATATACCTTATTGTGAAAAGCATATATTAGTAAGATAAATGAGCCTTTTTCTTGGTTTTCTGGAAGAAGTGTCCTCAAACTTAGCCCAACTATACTTGAAGTAACACACATGCATGCTATGAAAAGTTATAAGATAGGTTAAAGCAAAAAAAATTTCAAGTTAGGATAACTGCAAGTTTTATTATTCATGAAAGGATTGGCCAGAGAATCAGCAGGAATAAAAATTAAATTTAACCTTACAGAGTTTCATGACTGGAATGCTTGACATACAGCAGAGAGGTGGAACTATGAATCATTATACTTTTCAAAATAAAAACTTCCATATGGTTGACTTTCTTATCTTTTTCTTTACAATATTTCAGAAATATTATTGGTCATTGCAACCAGCATGTTCTGAGACTCAGGACACTGTCATAATCTTGTACATTATCATGGTCTGGAGAGCTGAGTAAAAAGCTATATATAGAACAGAAATGAACCTTTTACTGGAAGTTGAGCTGTTTCAAGTAAAATTTCAACTTTTGTTAGAGGTCTTACATGATACAGGTATATAGGGTTTTTTAAGATGTTCACCTGAACAGCTCTTTGGCGCATCTTCTTCTCCATAGACTTGGAATCCATTCCACCAATGCTGAGGAGTACAAAAAGAGCTGTTCCACAGATAACAATGAGAACCCATGCAAGCAGACATTCAGAGCTTGGCCTTGTGAACCTTGAAGTCCCATTTGATTTCTGAAAAACAAAAATGTGTTTTATACAAAAATGCATGTTTGCATCATGCATAAAATCATCAAGAAAAGATGAATTGCCATGCTAGAAAACTCACCTTTTTGGAAACAGTAGACACCACTAAGCCTTGCATTGCCAAGCTAGAAATAAATTTCACTCTGAGCTTTGATGATGAGATATGATGATGAGAACACAAGTCAATTGAAGTGCTGTATAAGAGATTCACCACACTGCAATGGGGACCGAGATCAGATTTATTGTGAGCTCAGCGACTTCACTTCAAAAGCAGCGAATATTGAGACTTCATCTCCTGGCAGGAAAGAGAAAATCATCCCTGGGTCGACAAATAATGTCTGGAAAAGGGAAGAAATGAAGCAGGATGGCGGATTTGGCAAATAAACTTCTCCAGGGGATTTCTCAATAGTTTCCGAAATCACCGGCAAATTTCAATTCCATCGGCTGCTTGCGAAAATTTTTTAAATACTTTATTGCAGTCCTTCGTATTATAGAGAATCCCCTTTTTTTTTTAAATAGGATGCATCGTCATACATTAAAAAATGTCTCACGTGCTAAATTGTAATGAATTCCGGGATGATATTGCGAAGAAATCTGAAAAAAGAAAATACGCTCATTCTGAATGTAAATGTAGAAGAAATATTCTGCAAATACGAGTACTTGAAATTATACCAGCCCTAATAATGCTGTACATCAGAGGATCGCGATCAAAACCTGTAGGAAACTGGAGTTTAATTCTTTTCAATTTTTTATTGATTGTTTGATTGAAAAAAACATTGAGAATCCCCAAATTATTTTGATCAACTCCTGCCGTGTCGTCATTGTCTTGTTCAATCAAATACATTTGTTTTCAAATCAATGATTGAGGCACATGAACAGACATTGATTAAATCTCAAGAAATGAAAACTTTTTTTTAAATGAATTCAAAAAAGAAACGAAAACATTCAAATTTTAAATAATTTCATAATGATTTTTCGGGACTTTGCATATAATTCTTAAGCTTTTTTGAATTGTGCGTCTTTTTGGATCTTCATTTGATTTTCGATCAATATTTGATAAGTAATGTAACTCAAAATTGCCAAGCTCGGCTTCACCCGATGGCCAAATTATTTTACTGTGACTCGCAAGAACTTTCGAAAAACTCTTTGTGTCATAGTGCGATGGAATAATCAGAGTGAGTTTCTCACCGAAAATAAAGACAGAAAAAGACCGAAAAGGTCTCATCGCTTGTTATTGACGTCTCTATCCTAAATAAGAGGATGAAGACTTTATTACTTGCATCACTGCGCTTACGAAACTACGAATCGAAGGACGAGACATAATTTCCTCAATTTAAAAGTCATCATTTCCTGTCTTTATTGTCAACACAGCTCGGATCCCATGTATATTCCGACGGAAATTTAAATTATGGATACAAATCTCATGACTGTGGTGTTCGATCAGCTTCACAAAAAAAAAATTGTCAGCAATTCAAATCCTTACCGAGTTATGCATGTATATGCTCTTAAGATACTTTTTACTCTGCCAAAATCACAGGAAACGGCGATTTGACGTGAAAATCGCTTCCATCGAAGATACTGTGCAGTATATGCTGTATTATGTATCATTATACTGTACTGATTTATGTTTTTGGCTTGTCATTTGTATAGCTGATTGATTTTTTCAAAAAATTACTTGCAACAACTTAAATTTTGTCTCAATTATATATTGACACATATATGACACACGAGCTTTGAGAGAATTGTTCCCAGAATATGTCTCCTAAAATACCAATTTTTCATAATAATTTCTGTATTACAACATGTACAGCAGTACTGTACATTCTTTTAATCCACATATATTTTTTACCGGTTTCAAGTATCATATTATGCAATCCGTACATATTCGGGAAAAACGTTCTTCTGTTGTTGACAGAAGTATGATTCTCTGTAAGTTATTTAAATAGTCACAAAATTATTGTATATTTTTTATTCTGGAACAAAAAGTATACATAGAAACGTAGTGTGTATTGTAATCGAGGCAGCATATTCCTCAATGATGATGATGCAAAAGCATATTACCCAGCAAATAATTTACCCGTATTTCCACCCGTCAAAGACCTGTCATATGCGGGTAGCAGCCACCCGTTTTGGGAAACGGGTACTGGGTCGAAAAAAAATGGGTGATCGCCAGTAGAACCACCCGTTTTGGCAGATGGGTGTTTGTATGGATGAATGTGCTGAGCACCCGTTTTCTCCAAACGCCTGCTTTGTTAAGGCTAAGAGAGATTCAGCCGTCATATGCGGGTGAATCACCCGTTTTTTGAAAAACGGGTGAAAAATAAACACCACACGCCATTTATACAGCTGTATAAAGGGGGCGCGCCGTTTTTACAGC